AAAGTTGGAGTCTCCTGAAATACGTTAATAATAATGTGACTACTAATATCAGACCGACTACGGATTACTATAACTACGAATAGCCAACTGTGATATATAAACTACAAAATCTATACTTTCGCCTGATTCTTTTTTTAGCGAAGTTAGAGCAAATGAACGCCAGTGTCACTCAGGAAATGCCCAATTGCCTCGCTATTCAATGTACTAATTGCTTCACCATCTAACCACGGCCTGTGAATAGTATCGATTAAACTGTTTATCGGGACTATGACTGGCATATTGATCGCTATCGCCTGAACAGACAGGTGTGATCATCCACTGATTGCTTCGCATCTTCTCAACTATGTGGTTAGTAAGCAGTTTAATTGAATGACATATAGCATTCCCATTTGTTTCTATGCACGAATGCATTTGGTCGAATCTTTGGAATTACTAGAGGTTCAAGAAATGTCAAAGTTGACAAAACGGTTATTTGAAAAAAAACTAATAATTATGTTACTTGTTTTATAATGACAAACCGTTTCCATAGCACATTCACCTAAACCTCAGACTAAAAATATTACTAGTCTGAGTCTAAATATACTTGCATTATTTAAGAGATGTCTACATTTTATCCGCTTGTCCGTGCCAGTTGGAGTAGCGGGATTTACTGAAGTTGACTAGATAACTTACACTATGGAAGAGTGACCAAGGAAGAGTGAGTCGCGGTGTTTACTGAGGGGAAAGTCTTTTAAATTTTGATTTGGATAACGTTGCCATGGCGACCAGTTGCCACTTACTTACAAGTGCCGGTTTAGTTTAGTTGATACAGTGCTTTGCGTACGCACACCTCCCATGCCTAAAGGATTCTAGGTTGTGATTCTTTCTTGCGCATCAATGAGACATGCCGCATTGGGGATTTTCTTATGACCGGAGATTATCGTTGAAATCCAAGTCAGTGCGTCTCTGGATTTGATACTAATTCAAGTCTATGCGACAGCTTGACAGAATAAATGTTTAGGCGTTTCATCAAATCCACCCGTCTGTAATCTGTTAGACGCTCTTTGATATTTATTCGACATGTTTGCTCTCATGTCGATTTCATGCATTCAAACAACTACTCATTGTCACTGCAGCTCAGTTTCGATGTCGTGTTACTTAACCATAACTGTCAATAACGTAGCAGCTATGGAAATGTGACAAAGATGCGACCCGAGTTAAACTGTTGGAAAGATGAAATATTCAATAAGAGGTGTTTGCAGTTTGCAAATGCTGTCCGGTAGCATTATGGCGGTTAACATGAAATGAAACCTGGATGTGCTGTCATGTATGTGCATCTGTCAGTAAAATACACCTCTACACTAATTTTTTTATTGTATTATATGTCAATGTAACTACAATACAGTATAATGGACAATTCACACACAGAGCTAACTAAAAATATATAACATGTCGGTAGTACAATGCCATCTTCACTGTGAAATATAGGTTTGAACTGAATATAAGCGCCGACGAACCTGTGTCTCATCCTTAAGTGCGCCCGTAAGTGACATACATGCACCCCACACACGTGCAGTCATTGTATAACTATATGCCAATGTTACAAACATGTGCCACTGTTAAGGTAGTCATTGATTGTACATTGAAATACACATTTATACATGTACAATCATTGACAAACGCCAATGTAACCATTCATTGACTCGCAGTACATGCAGTACGCCAAATAAACAGTTGTATGCATTGGCCAATGAAATACTCACGAGATGTGTGGTCATTTTATTTTTTAAAATGCTAATTTAAATGCTGCTAGGCATCAGATAAAGTGCCCTCACCATGTCAGTTAGACGTGGTGTGAGAATCTGCCGAAATAGAGGATACGCTCATTACACACACAAGGTTCAGCGAACATTATTTGCATTATCTATAATACTCGGTATTTATTCGTTGTATTAAAAAATAAAAATATATTCTGATGAATTTCGCAATGAACGACGTAATACACGTATATATCTGTGGATAATGAGTCTAGTAAAATCGCACAGCTGTGCAAAACTGCAAAGTATTTTTCTTTGATTAACTTCTAATTCCATGTTGCAATTGAGATTACAGGCATTGCCATCGGCCGAGAGCTATTAATTCATATGCGTACGAGTCCAATTTCCATGTCCATGTCCAAAAACGTAAGGCACGTAAATCCCACATTAAATAAACATGGCATTCAATAATGGCAATGCCATTATACGCCCAAGGGGTAATAGGCCAAGAAACCTACGACTTACGCGTACATACATATTACACCATATTAATTTGCGTTTTCCTTTCCTCGATGATATCAAATATTCATCAAAGCTAGGTATATAATTTAGTAGAAATACTATAGCTATAAGTATTATTTTCGAAATAGAATAATGGTTGCAGCTAAACGGAAGGTTTTTACCTTTTTTTTTATTAGTGGTATATATTTTAAGAAACTCTTTGATGTTATTTCGTTTGTTACAAGAAAATAAGTAATACTGTACACATACTGTACAGATACGATGACAAAGTTACATACTGCGAGCCGGCATGTATTAATGAAGCACTAAAAGTATTCCTTGTATCATAGCGAAAAAAACTCAAAGGCAGTCTACTCAAACACACGTCACGGTCCAATACAAGTCAGTTCAAAGTAATCAAACGTCATTTCTCTTACTGAACTGCATGTTTTTGATAGAGTGTTTATTCGCACGTGTCCGGCGCCTATGACGTGATGTCAACAATTTCGTCGCGCCAAAGCGGCGGAAATATTCCCACGCAACCATGCAAAAGCACCTAACTTCTTGTACTACTTTTCATTTATCATTGTCTCTAAATGTAATGCTATTTTCTGCACAGGTACGACTGTTTGTCGAGTTTCACTCTATTCAACACAATCTGACATTAATCCAACAATTTCTCTCCACCATATTGGTCGGCATTCCATTCCATCCCTTTTAATCACTACATAGAAATATTACACACAAATCGTAACTAGACCACAGGTCATACAAATGTCATATAGCTTTACACCAGTGTATGTTGACATTAACGCAATATCCCACTCACTGCTCAAAAATACAAGGCAACATTAATCACCGCACAACAATTTACAGTTTATCTGGCACCATCTTGCTATCAACTTTGCAAGGGCCTCTTATATATGCACCTCATAAACTAACTGTATATTATAATGTAGCAAATTAATTTTAAGAGCACAAGCATTCATCAATACAAAAATGTTTTCCACTCAAACAACCAGGTACAGCAAGGGTATAACAATTAACGACTTCATGCATAACTTGCAACACATTTTTTTTATTATGTTCTGGACAATCATTTTATTTTATGCAGTATATAAAAATGCTTCTAGTAATTTTGGTGATGGAGCCAAACAATGCTCAGACATTTTATTTACTGCAAAACCCCATTTCAATTCATATCACACAGAATAAAACCAAGGCTCAAAGGCATGTTGCAACATTTTATGCACACTGCCACTGTTTTAACAATAACAATATTGAGTATTGATTTATCCTTGCAGATTATCAATAGTATGCACCAACTGAGACCCACAGTTTAATTTACAGTTATCTTCATTCCATAGTTATATATTCCAAACACATAGCCAAGCATCTGTGGATAAATAACCTCTCTGCTCAGTTAAATACAATCCTCTGTCTAATTTGCATTTTTTCAAATCGATGATTTAATCAAACGCATCAACAGCTATAACAGGTAGCACCAAACACTATATAGGAATATAAACCCTCAATGCTTTCATAGGTCTGATATCAGATATCAACCAATTACAGATTTAACACAGTTAGCAAGAAATTATGGCATTAATTTGTTAAATAGAGTTGTTTAAATATACTGCATGTCCGCAGTATGTACATGTTACACTATAGAGATTATATGTATATCTTCATATATATTTCAGAATGAGGAAATTAACATTTCCTAGTAACAGCTTTAAGGATATGAATGTGATTGTTCATAATTCTGTTAGAATTAACAATCATTCTTTCCTCATAGTATATTAAAACAGAGAATGTAATTTCCCCTTTCACTTTAAGGACAAGGTTATATAAGTAATATAAACATTTGAGGATTCAATAATGTACATAGAAATGTCAATATTTCATCACAATAGAAATATTTAATATACCAAATAACAACCCACATCGTTATCATGATCCTGACATTCAATATAATACAATTGAACAAGCTCAATTGTAAGCCTTAGTAATAAAAGAATATTATAAAAAAATATTAGCATGCGAATTAGGCAACAAGTCAACACTTTTTTTTAAATGGCTAATCATTTAAAGGCATTTGAGCAGGGTGAAACACAAATCTTTGTGAGATTCTTTTCACTTCCAATTAGCCATGACAGACAATGTAAATACTCTGCATTTACGCTAAAGAGAATACGTCAACATAACTACTCTTATCCATGATGGATGCAGCTCTCAAAAACTCATTTACAGCACTTTAGTCTTAAATACACACTTGAAGTGTGTCTACAAGTGTGTTTCCATCTTCCTCCTGTCAAAGTTATCACACAACATTCAGCAAAGAGTGCTAAAATTATACAAAAAAGGTCATTTCTGCATCATTTAAGTGTTGAGTTTACATAGTAGTGAGCTCTCTTTGCATTTGCATAACACATAATATAACTGATTGTTAGGTTTGAACATGACTTTGAATAATTCATATGAAATCCATTGATTATCATCAAAATGTTTCTATAACACTTTGGCAGCTTTCACAAATAAATGTCTAAAATTTAAATTTATAAATATATAACCAGGCAATATTCATTCTCTGATTGGCTACATTAGGGCATGTGATGTTATTTAATAGCTTTAGCACATAGAAACAAATATGATATTCATAAATGTATTAATGTGACATCTCATCTATCATCAGGAATTTCAGTGAACTAAGCAACACAATCACAACTGTAGTCTAAAATCAGGCACTCATTGTCATCTCATCTATGCTGGGTTACTAAGCGACAGTATAAGAGTTTTAAGCGCATCTCGTTTCCTAGATACAGCCTCCTGAGTTACTGCATCCTTGAGTGATATTTTACAACCTTGGAGTAATTGTTTACAGAGATGTTCAGTAGAACAGATGACAAATAAACCACAGTCATAACCTATAAAAAGTAGATAATTAAACAGTTTCTTATTATAAGCATAAAAACAAAAACACTTCACACAATATCAGGGATACGGTATCCTAGCAATTACGCAATGATGTGACATATTAGACAAGAGAAAGTTCAGCTAAAATCAAGCAGGGGAATCAATGCCCATTATGTGCATTATATCTGAGTAAAGATTCAAGCTGAGTTAAAATACATTAGTTATTTTACAGATGAACCTTTTGATACTTTGTCTTTCCTATCTAACTACAGATAAACTTTTCACTCTATTTCGTCCATGAATTGAGATAAATGTAGAAATTAAATTAAACCAGATGACTAATATCACATGGCTTAGTTACTACACACTGGATTGTGACATTATTTGAAGAAAGAAAAAGGCCCCACATCAATTTAAGCTGGATTGTTGAATTTCATTATTTTTACAGACTTACAGGCACCAAACAATCTATCGATAGCTCCAAAGATACCACAGTTGCCACTTGAGTTGGAAATACTAACTACAATGAAATAATTCATTCAAATAAAAATTAGCAAAATGTAAACATTGGAATATAAATTATAGATATGTGTGAATGTATTTCTTCAGGTGGTCCTCTGTATGCCATCTATCATGAAAAGCATTCTGTGTATATTTAGATACAACTTGAAAGCTGGACAATATTGTATTTGCTATGAATTGCAAGTTGAACTGCTGACCATTCAGATACAATTTAATACATCATGCTTTTTTTCAAGGCGTATAAATAGAACACAAATATACTAACATTACAAACAAGTTTAGGTTTTATATTATTAATGTATCTTATCAGCATGAAAACTTGAATACTACAATGCAGATCAGAAGCTACAGAGTAAGATGCAAGCACACAGCAAATGTGGATTCCAAATGACCTGGATGACACCCAACAAGAATGAAATTTAGATGTATTTTACTATGATGCAATATCTTTATCACTCATATTGACATTTTGAAAGAGCACTTTGAGACGTCAGTTCGACTGGTTGGTCTAAAGTGATGTAATTTTAATTATTGATGAGAAAACTGTCTTGGGAAACATCCTGTCCAATTCAATTATGCTCTCGTTCAATTAACCTAACTGGCTGTGACTTTTCATGTGTATTTTTTATAAAAAGCTGCAAATCTACGCAACTGTATAATATCATCACAGTGGAATTACAAATTCATTGTTATGACTAATATCTGATTAACAAAAAGAATCTCTGTTTTCGGCTTCTTCTATCACCAACTCCCTCCTCCTTGACTCCTTTTTTTTTACCAGTCTGAAGATTGTTTTTTTGTAATTTTCTACAATTTATATTTCAGTGAATATAATATAATAATGCCTCAACCCAATTCAATGTGAACATAATTCAGCAATGTAAAGTTGATTAGAAAAACATACAGTGTACAGTATCTCAAGGATGTGTACACATGTCTGAAATAACACAAGGCAATTACAAAAAGAAACAAATCACCATAAAAATGATTCCTTAATAAGATTCAGATGACAGTAAGTGTGAAGATCAAACAAATCCAGCAAGCCTATGCTAACATTATTGAACTTTTAACTTGAACAGACCAGACTGAGAGCTAGGGGTTTGTTGACAACACTAATATTGACATGTTTGTAATAATGACTGTGTACTGGGCAAACCAACACAGAACATCGGAATAGTGTTTACCTTCAACATATTCA